AAGAACATCATTTTGTGTATTTGGTGTAATGAAATGTGTTTATGACCGCATAAACACATTTCATTACACCAAATACACAAAATGATGTTCTTTTTAGCAGCATCATATGACCCTTTAATATTCTGGTTGACCTGATACAGTTTTGACAAAAAAGCCTAATGGCCGGCCATATATGTAGATGCTCAAATTTACTGGTCAATCTCTTAAAAGACAAGACTGCTTAACTGCTTACATGAACTCCTCATGTAGTGTATTTTGTTATACAGTAGCTTATGTCTATAAGCAACAGAAGCTTTCTTTTAAATACACATGGCATTCGGTAGTTGCACAAACACATGAATTATAATAACACTGCACACTTTTAATGGATATACCAAGGTTGTAACAAATAAGAAAGTCCTAAATTGAATCACTTTAGTCTTCAAATAGAAATTAAAGCATCTTATTGTGCAAATTATGAGAAAAATATTTTTTTAGTTTTGTTTTATATGGCAAAGAAAAACAGTTTCAGAAATGTCAGTTTGTCTTGAATATTATATGTTGCATCAATAAAGCAATTCTGTGTAAACACTCCATGCATATCATGGTGGTTCTTTACAAAGTAGCCAGCTAGATCACTACATGGTCATATAGAGGGCACCCTTACTTTTTAATTATTGTTCTGACTATTGTTCAGTTCTTTCATTAAACCTCCATTGAAAGTATATTTCTTTAAAATTGTATTTGTTTTTACAAACTGAAATTAAAACATGCCACAGAGCTTAATTAGCATGCACATTCCTAATGAATCTAAATTTTGAATGCATGGAAGATATGTCATGCACACACTGAGCCAATAGTCCTCCATATAGGTGGCGACACAATATACTATATAGTCCCCATTAGAGAAAACAGCTTATAAATCATACTGAAATCAGTAATAAAAAATAATGTTTTCTGAAAGTGTTAGGTTTAGGTGATTTAAGGTTTAAGTTTGTACAGTATAAAACCATAATGTCTACGGAGAATTCTCATAAAACACAAAAATCCACATATGTGTGTAAAATATGTAAAAATAATAATTCTGCCAGTAGGTGGCGGCAAGTGTCTTTATTGGTGAGGCATTTTTCAGTGAATTATTCAACTGAAACGCTACTGATTTATTCAGGAACGAAACACCACTACTGTTTTTCAGACAGACACAATGGTTAGTACTGCTGTGGCCTTGTTTGGAAACTGTAGAAAATTACTTATATTTAATATAAAATATATTAGTGAACTGAGATTGAGATTTCTAGTATTGGATTTTAGCAACTGTGTATGTATTGTCCTGCTGAACCGTATGTTATGGGGACCAAATGTCTCCACAAAGACAGTAAAACCTGAAATGTTTGACCTTGTGGGGACATTTTTTGGTCCCCATGAGGAAAACACCTTATAAATCATCCGAAATGATGTTTGTTTGTTTTTTGTTTATTTTTGTTTTTTTTAAATGTAGAAAGTTTTCTGAAGGATTAGGTTAGAGGTAATGTTAGGGTTAATGGGTAGAATATACAGTTTGTACAGTAGAAAAATCATTACATCTATGGAGAATCCCCATAAAACATGAAAACCCAACGTGTGTGTGTGTGTACCTGGTATTTATCACGTTACAGGGAGGTATTGTTCATCTTAAACAGAAAAATGTTAAGCATTGTATTATATGGAGGTGCTCTCATTGATACAGAGGTATTATTTTTGCCAAGCGGTTTTGCTTAAAAAGTGTAAAAAGTGTAATTCCAATCGGTCAGAAATATAGTATCACAGCTCTCCTCAAAAGGCAACATGATTTGAGTTACATTTGCAAGTTCCTTTAGTGAAAATAAGTGTAGAAACCATGGTAGATTATTTATACTATAGATTATTTTGTATCAAAATGTTGCTAACTTGCCAAGACCATGTCAGCTCAACCATCTCATCCACACAGAAAGACAAGAACCTTATCATGCTATGAAACATCTGCGAGACCTTTTCTTAGCTGCTCAGATTCTGCTTCAAGCCCCAGTCTGATCCCATCTTCACTACTGCAACTTACTTCAAGCTGGCCTCCCTCGAAAACAGTGGCTGTTGGTTCTTCTGATTAAGGGGGGAAAAAGAGTTTTGACCAAATGTATGAATATTTAGATACTGAATATTAATGAAAATTGAGATTTAATTGTTTTAGCTTTATCACATTTAGAAAAATGCTTTAATGTATTAGAGATGTGCAATAGGCATTGCCCCCTGTTGTGGTTATTCTACTTTGTGTAAACAAATAAGTCATATAAAAAGAAAGTAATTACGTTATGTTCACACTCCATTCTGCTATACAAACCTCCGCACATAAAAAACTGGCAAGGTAAAAAAAAAATCTGCTAATCATTTACTTGCAGTCCAGTTTATTGAGGACCGATGGCTTCTATCCATCTTCCAAGAACAGAGGTAAGACTGTATTTTGTGTTATAATATTTCATTTTAATTTTATGTGTACTGGGCAAAAACAAAAAACGTATTAAATTTTTTATTTTTTTTTCAATTCCCCATCAATTCTATTATGAAATCCACATTTTTTTTTTTATTATGTTCAGTTTAATATCTTGGTAATGAGTGTTTATTGTTTTTGCTTTATTTATTCGGTTACATTATATTTTGTGATTATTTGACTTGCATTGCAATTGTGTTCAACAGGTTATAACATGGTACGCCACTCTCATTTGGTTGCTGTTGATCACCAACTGCTTCATTATACAATGTAAGATTTATTTCCATTCAATTCTTTTTTTTTCTTAATCAATTTCAAAGGACTGTGATTTTACAGCAAGAACAATTGCAGTGATTTGGCAGCAGAAAAAAAAACATGCATTCATTAACACACAAACCGCATTGTCCACTATTTTTTATATAAAATGCCACATGCTTCATTCAGGTTTTGCTCTTTCAGCTCTTTTGCTAGGATCTGTAGAGTCACTAAACTGTTCAGAACCAACAACTAAATCGCTCCTTAATGCCATGAGAGAGGAAGTCATCAGATACAGCGATGCAAGGCCAGTTATAAGTCTGAGCACTCCCACCAATGTCAGTGTGGACTTGACTCTCTATGGAATCTTAGGAGTGGTAAGCAACTTTAACTTAACATTTACAAAAATTTTCATAGCACTAATCCCACTCAATATTATAGAAATCCTTACAGATTGCATCTATTTTCCCTTTCAGAATGAAAAAGCACAGGTGTTGGAAACATTTCTGTGGGTGAGGATGGTAAGAGTCTACAAATACACTAGACTAAGGATGTCCGATATTGACAAAAAAAAAATAAATGATCACAATATTAATTTGGGATTTTTCCAATAATGATAATTGAACAATATTTTGCTGAGTGTGTTTTTGTGTTGGTACCTTGGTTGGTTTAGGCCTGGCATGAATAAATAAATAGGACACTAAAACTGCTAGTAGGTGGCAGCACGTCCCTGTCTTAATGAGTGATTTTTTTAAAATCCTTCATTCAAATGATTCGTTTAAAACAGCTGATTCATTTAGAAACGAAGCAAGTGATTTATGAATTGATCACTGAATCACTGACTCAAATTGTTGTATTGTAAAAATATTTTCGTTTGCGAAACATCAGACAATATTGTGTCTAAAATGTAACATTTAATATTAACTTCATGTTTGTTGAACTCTTGTATAAAATTAATATCACATTGGCAATTGCGTGCACATGCTAATATTTAGGAAAACGGCACTGATACTTGTGTGATATTAAGCCTATTTAACTATATAATTTCTTACAAATACACACACATATATATATATATATATATATATATATATACACTGTATATAAATAAAACGCACAGGGATGTTTTTTGCTTTCATAACTTGAATTATAGGGGCATTCTAATCACATGCTAATAGGCTTCATCACGCAGTGAATGCCTTTGGACCCTCAAGATGTGTTTTTGTTTGTTTTTTTGTTTTGTTTTTTCGTTTCACAATTTAAATTTCACAAATTGAGTGACATACTTGATAAGGTCAGCTCGCACTTTGTTAAAATAAACAATTACGATATAATCACAGACAATAAATATAGCACAGCCCTGGTGTAGATCTGGTATTAACAGCCAGCAGGCATGATTTTTACACTGCTAAATACTTCCAGGCATTAGTAGCAATAGCACAAGTTTAATTATTCTTTTTTAGACGTGGCAGATTGAAGGTTTGAGCTGGGATCCTGCTGAGTGTGGAACAAAAAAGATCTCACTACCAAGAGAGAAGATATGGGTTCCAGACATTGTCATTAATGAATTGTAAGTAGCAAATATTGAATGTAACACCTTTGACTAATGACTAGCAGGAAAAAAATAGTGTCGATCATAACTACGCACTTGCAATGGACCTCCATTACCTTTAAACCTGATATCTGCAATCATTTTGCAGTATGGATGAAAACCGAGCACCAGAAACATATTACGTCTATGTGACCTCCACTGGTCTAGTGTTCGATGGACGGCCGTTTCACGTAATCAGCTCCTGCAGACTGGACATCTACACCTTTCCGTTTGATTTTCAGAACTGTTCATATACTTTCAACTCTTACAAACACTCTCGTGAGTAAACAGAACTGAGACATGGATGTTCCTATTTGTCTGCTTGTGATTCTATTGTACCTGTTGGTCTCTTTTTCTACAGGTGATGATGTTCAGTTGTTCTTCTACATGCCCGTGGAGCAGATATTCAAAAATTCTCTTGAAGCAATGACAACTAAAGGAGAGTGGGAGCTGATAGACATGCGGGCAGAAAAACCTGTACAGCTCTTTCTGGAAGGGGGATGGGATAACCTCATTGTTTATGTTGGTGGCATTTTAGATTTAGGGAGGAATTCACTAAGAATCGCAACTGATACTACCATGATTTGGTGCATGTTACTGAGACTGTACAGCATTGCTGCACCACTGTGATCCCCCCACCAACAAAGAGGGGGGAAGTCGTGGCCTAATGGTTAGAGAGTCGGACTCGTAACCCAAAGGTTGCAGGTTCGAGTCTCGTACCGGCAGGGATTGTAGGTGGGGGGAGGGAATGTGCAGTGCTCTCTTCCACCTTCAATGCCCTTGAGCAAGGCACCGAACCCCAAAACTGCTCCCCGGGTGCCGCAGCAAAAAAAAATGGCTGCCCACTGCTCCAGGTGTGTGTGTGTTCACTGCTGTGTGTGTGCACTTTGGATGGGATAAATGCAGAGCACTAATTCCGAGTATGGGTCACCATACTTGGCCACTTCACAAAATTCCAATTTTCCAGGTTCCAATCTTGCTCCTGGAGGGCCAACATCCTGCAGAGTTTAGCTCCAATCAGCTCCTGCACACTTGCTTGGAAGTTTCTAGTGAATCTGAATACCTTAGCTATGTGCGAAATTGTACTTTTACCCTTAAATAGGGCACTATTTCAGGGGACATTCATTTGTAGTGGTGTCCGAAACCATAGAGTGTGCTCATAGAATCCCATAATGCACAAGTGTATAACCGTTGTGCACGCAGCAGCTATGTTAGTATTGGACTATATTAGTGGACTAATGTAGGGAATAGTAAATGAGGGTATAGGGGGCGATTCGAATGCAGAACTTGATTAGCTAATTAGGGTTGGCGCTAAAGCCTTGGTCAAGGGCACCTCAGTCGTGGGTTTCTGAATTTGGAAGAGAGCGCTGTTCATTCACTCCCCACCTACATTTCCTGCTGGTACTGAGAACCGAACCCGAAACCTTCGGATTACAAGTCTGTCTCTTTAACCATTGTGCATCTGAATTTGTCATTTGCACGTGCCCAGAATTTAATGCACTAATTGGTGGGTCCACTAGGTGGAAACACACACAGTTGGGTCTTTACTTTTAAAGAATTAGCTGACGAAGAGGATTGAAAATGTAAAAAAAAAAAAAAAAAAACAAGGACAGAGGTGAAAGCAATAAAAATGGATATACAGTACAAGTAGGAAATACCACACAAAAGCTGTGCTGCTACTTAGTGAATTCGCCCCTTTGTGTTCTTTTTTCTACTGTGAAATGAGATTTATACTTGATAAACACTAATGTTCTCACTCGTTGTGGACTAGATTGTCCTGAGACGTCGAGCTACGCTGTATGTCGTGAACCTCCTGATTCCCAGCAGCTTCCTGCTTTCTTTGGATCTCTTCAGCTTCCTGCTGCCTCCTCAAAGCGTGGACCGTGCTTCCTTCAAAATGACACTGATTTTGGGCTACACTGTCTTCCTGCTGCTAATGAACGACCTGCTGCCCGTCACAGGAAACAACTTACCACTCATAAGTATGTTCTCAATCCTTATCATTCACTTATATTGCATCTGCTAAAAAGTGGTCCCAGATGGTCACCAGAATGGGATGCTGGTGCAACCTTACCATACACCAGCAATACTTTCTTGAGAAAACCAAAGTTTGCAGTCAAAGTTTGGCTAGTTAGCATGGCCCAGTTAGGTCTGGTATATGTCAAAAGTCAGGGGTGTTCAATTCTGCTCCTGGAGGGCCAGTATCCTGCAGAGTTAAGCCCCAACCAGCTCCTAGTGATGTGAAATTTAAATCGAGGCATCATAGCTTGTGTCGAGAATAAGTGGCCGTGCCAGATGAAGCCTCGATTCGAAGCTTGTGTTGTTAACATAGAAATCACGTGACAAAATGTCAAACGAAGCTTCACTTTCTGTCCAGGCAGGTGCTCGATTCACTTTGCGTGTCGAAATGTCCGATCCCCCAGATCTTACTTTACGGATACGTTTTAATTCAGACTTATTCAGTTACATTTTAGATACCCAGTCATACAAGTAATATGAAGAATACAAATTATTTCAGGAAAATTAAATATTTGTCATATGCAATTCATATATGTACATTATTCTTCTATTACATCATATTGATATTCATACTGGTATTAAATTGCACAGTTTAATGGGTAAATTAATTTATCAGAGACAGAAATTCAACAAAAACAAACACACACACTGTTAGGCTTTTATATGTGCACGTAACGTGGATCGATCTATGGAATGTGTGGTGGATGCTTCGTCCTACGGAGCGTCTTGCTTTATTTTTTACTAACCGCCAGATGGCATTGTTTTCGACACTCGACACTTTGAATCTTTTCCCGAAATAGTCAGAGGAAAGACTCAGTGCTTCATGAGGCTTCATTTGCCCATCACTACCAGCTCCAACACACTTGCCTAGACGACTCTGAAGGCATTGATTACTTTGGTTCAGGTGTGTTTAATTAGGGTTGGAGCAAGTGTGCTGCACACGTCCCAAAATGTGAAGCCAACGCATTTTGATCGCCATCTGGTGGCTGGCTGCAGTATAGGTCATAAACCCCACCCATTACATGTAAACGAATGGGACATAAGCCGGACTAAAAATCTAATTACACTTCAAATTAATTTTTCCCAACGATGGTTTCCATCTTTTTAGGTAGTTCTTATTACACTGATGTATGTTCACTTGTTTGTTTTTCTAATAAGTTTCCTTTTAATTAGTTATTTGATGCTATAAAAATGGGATGTGGTGTGGTGTTATGATTGTGAGCCTGCGATTGGGTCTGCAGGAGTTTGGGCGAGACTTCGATACCACAGCTCCACCTCACGATCACTACTGCGCAGACTCAGGCTCCAAATGAATCACTAATGCGCAGACTGCTGGCTTCACTTTTCTATAGTGGCAAAAAGTGGAGATCATCATCCTTCTTTTTTACAGTCTATGGGTTGGAGCTAAACTCTGCTGGACAGTGGCCCTCCAGGAGCAGGTCTGGACACCCCTGTCATAACTTATCCCACTGGGAGCATGTTTCTTCTTTGACCGCCATCCTTGAGATGAATTGAAATGGTAACAGCTAGCTTTCTCAAGGTATTACAGACCTCCTTGAGCTGACCAGTTGTATCACGAAGATCATCCTGGTTAATCAGCTTAAGTCCAATGTACCCAATCCTGTTCCTGGAGATCTACCTTCCAACTGAACTATCTTATTAAGATTTTCAGAAGCACTTGATGATGACAGACAGGTGTGTTCGATTAGGGTCAGAACTGAAGTCTGCAGATAGTTTGATCTCCATGAACAGGATTGGGCACCCCTGGCTTGAGTTTTTCTGCTCAAGCTTCTGGCATAAACTAACCTGGGCCGCATTTCCCAAAAGCATTGTAGGCCATCAATGGTCTCTACAGTGCTTTTGGGAAACGAAGCCCAGGATTCAAATCTGATCTTTTCAGCAGGGTAGGTGATCGTTCTTCACCTCCAATCTCATCTTTCTCTCTCGATGTAGATGTGTTTTTCTCTCTCTGCTTGGCCTTGATGGTAGCAAGTCTCCTTGAGACTATCCTCATCACCAATGTCCTGTGTGGGTCCCGTGACTTTCCTCCCTTACCCAGGTGGCTCAGGATTCTGGTCCTGAAATATCTTGCTCGACTCGCTTGTATGAAGAAATCTTGCGATAAACACTTTGAAGGTAAGACTCTTTTTGGCAGCCAAGATATCTTCCAGGATGGTTTCGCAATAGAGTTATTGGTGCTCTCCTGATATCGGAATTCATATCATTGGTGTAAATGATGTTTTCCAGCAGTGATCTTGTTTCTTGCCTACAGCAAACAGATCTGACAGCACTTTCTACAAAAACAGCATGGCTGATAATGCCATGACTGATATTCCAAAGAAAGAACTAGTTAGTGCAAGTCCACCGAGAGTCTGGGAACAATGTCTTGATGAAATGAAGAAGATGAGTAAAGATTTATTGGCCATCCGCCACCAAGTTGAAGAGCACTTCAATAATGACAACAGAACAGATGAATGGATCATGTTTGGTCAGGTCATTGACCGCGTGCTCTTTATAATGTATACTCTCTTTATCATTGTGAGTTTAACCACGATTATGGTCCTGTGGCTGCACTTGTACAGTCTAGACAAAAGGTCGTAATATATTATTGCCTGCTCTGTAAACTGAAGACATCAAAATCTAATGATGTCAATGGGGCCATGATTTATGTATGATGTAATGCAAGGGATCTTCAACAAAATACTCTAGCTTTAATGGGGTAGTTCACAAAAAATTTTATTTCTGTCATCATTTTCTCATCCACAAGTTGTTTCAAACACAAAAGCAGATATTTTGAAGAATGTTGGTGATCAAATAGTTGACAGTAGCCATTGATTTCATGGCAGCAAAAACAAAGTACATCATGACAGAATTTCCCTTTCCTATCCCTTTAAGTGTCCCAAAACTTAAATATACATAGACATTCAAGCTCTAGAAAGTTGTATAAATAAGTATTAAAATTTAGCAACTGTGTAGACTGAATCTGACATTCTGTTTTATCTTTGGTATCTTGAATAGCAATGACTTTTGTCACTGTCATCACATATTCTATTATTAGATAAAAATTAAATATTTAAATATCACACAAACTTTGCTTCTGGTTTTGGTGTTTGTTTGTTATTTGAGGATTTATTGAGTTAAGTTATTGTGGTTAAATATATGTATTGAAATAAACCGTTTAATACATTTCTAAGTTGATAATTATAGTTGATGATAGTTATTAATTTGATGACAAGAAAATGCTTTTAAAAATGCAGTATGTTACGTACCATACAATCAAGGCCAGTCTGTGGAAATATAGAACTAGCCATGGTATATAAAAACAACTGGAAATATTTTCAAGAGGATTTAATGTTCAAATAGATTTTATAAGGTCTTGAAGAGCCATAATAGCTCAAGTGTGAATCCGGTGTTCTTTCCTCTAATTAAATGTGTGGCACTGAACATGTTTTTTCATCTAATGGAAAAACAAGCTAGATCACTAATGAGTTCAACCAAACGGATACAAAGCTATTAAAATAAGATAGGTCAGTGGTTACCGAAGGTGTTAAACAACATGTAACTGCACATGATAGTGTCAGAAAAGTCATCAGATTTCACCTGTGGAAGTAAACGGTGAGCCGTTTTAAACAAAAGGATATCTCATCCACACCGAGCATTATGGGACATCTTTGGCGTTTTCTTTTGGCATTTTTCATTCTACTTACAGGTAATGAATTAAGCTTATATGTAGATGACAGACTTAATGTTT